AACCCCTTAATTTAGTTTTAGGCTTCTTTTAAGCTTAGCCAAACATGACTCAGTATTAGATTAAATTGGGCTTTTATTCACGCAAGGCAAGACAAAAACTTGACCCAAAATAGGAGCCCAATAATATTAACGGGCTAGAAATCCAAAAAGGTCCAGATTACTGATTATGGGCCTGAATTCTGTTGACATTGAAGCCAAGATGAAGAACTAGGCTGTAGAGAAGCATCCTCCGATTGTCTGGTCGACTGCTGTGAGTGACTGACTCCCAGTCCTCGACTGAGAAAACCAGAATTCAATAACCCGATCGGAAAATGGCCGGAGCTTCCAAGAGAAGCATCCGGAGCAAGACGCCATCCTCTTCCGTCGACAACTATAATGATCCATCAATCCGTAATGTAAAACCAAACACCAGAATTCGAAAATCCGGTGGCAGCGACCAGAATTTCATTCGGATTTTAAACGTGAACATCAAATATTTATTCATTTTTGGCCTTGTTTTCTTTTTAATCGCTTTGTTTTTAGTTAATCACCTCATAAAACCCGCGGAAGAGCCTGTGAAACCCAGAGTCGTCACTCCGTTTCCTGCCCCAAAACTGATGGATCTTCCTATGGTAAAGATAGTTTTTTTTTTTTATTCTTGGTACTGCGTAAATAATGTATAAAACTTGGGGGTTCATTTGTTGGTATTTATTTATGTGTAAATTGATGAAATGTTATGTTGCAGTTTCAAGGGGAGCACAAGGAAAGCTTATATTGGGGAACGTACAGGCCTCATGTTTACTTTGGAGTTCGTGCACGGTAAATTTGTTTCTTTGCACATTGCTTCCTTTTAATTTAATAGTAGCTGCTATTAGTCTTTTAATTCGTAGCTTTAGATTATAAACGAAGTTGCAATTACTTTTGTTAACTCTTTAAGCACTTTAGATTCACCTTCAAAAACTTTGATAGCTTTGGAGATGAAATCAGCAAGGTTTTTATTGAGTTAATTTAATCAATGGTCACTAAACTTTGTTAAT